GTCAGATGGTAATGAATCAACCCTGTTAGAAAAAAAGGGTCTGTAAAGAAACACTGCAAATTTATAAACACTCTGTTTTTTCCTACATTGCAACACTCCCAATTAGTGAATCAAAAAAGATTTGAAGATTTAAACTACACAACCCCATTTCATGTTTTCTTTTTAATCTAATAATGAACACTGAGAACAGATTTGTCTATTTCTATTGCAAATCTCTTACGAATTGTCATGTATTAGAATAATTCCAATATTTGAGCTGCAAACATAAACACAGTTTTTGTGTTTAAAATAAAAATCTACTGGGGAAAATAGATAAACATGTATATTTTGATCATGTGATTTGACTTGTAAGTAAATTTAATGACTGTAATGACAAGTGAAAATGTTTTGGAAATCTTATTTTTAAACTTAAGAGGGTATTTGCCCCAAATTGACACCGTTAATAGCCTGTTCCAAACAGCACAGCTGGCTTCTGACAGCAGCTACCTAGTAATAGGTGAGACCTATAACAAGAAGTGTGATTAGCAAAGAGCACTAAGCAACAGAGCAAACAGGCAGCATGAAGCAATTCAGACCACAAGGAATGCTGGATTTTAAGACAAAATCCTTCCATAAACAAGGAAGCGGTGGAAGAAAGAGCTGAGTATAGATGATAAGATGGGAATGTTAAAAAAAAAGAAGAAAAAACAATCTCTTCGCTAAGATTAAAGGACAACTGACAAGGGATGGGACTTCACTCCAGGTAGAATATGAAACGCTGGAGCATCTGAATAGCTGTTTGTTAGCAGATGCAGACTGTCATGATACTTTTCTGCAACTCAAAATCGAACAGAAAAGGAGGAAGTGCACATGTTGCACATGCACACTAGCAAGACATGAATGCTGGCATCCACGTGGAGCCTGAGCCCTTTGAAGATTCTCTGATTAAAGACATTGCTCTAGGAATGTTTATAAGCGCAATTCTGCAGAAAAACAGATCAGCATTTAAACCACACTCCCAAGTCTCATGTAGACTATTGCATGTGGTTACTAACTAATCACCCCCTTTACTTCAAGCACTGGGTAGTTCTGCTTATATCTTTTTTTTTTTTCCTTGCCCCTGCTTCTTCCTCTTCTCTGCCTCCTGTTTTACCTGCTTTCCCTCTTGCAGGTTTTATCAGACAGTTTCCACTAGGAAAGGTCAGAGCTCCTCTGCCTGAACTCAGGTGGAGGCCCTGAGAAGGGCTCAGAGAGTGGGACATGCCAGGGGTATTCATTCGTGGCATTCACTCACTTTAAAGTATGTTCATGGTTACTACTCACTGGAAAAAGATGGCTCTGATCTACTGGCCCAGTAATAATGTTATGCATACAAACTGCCATACAAGACCAGCTACCTGGTGAACATTGCCAAGTTTGTAGGATTTTTATGCCACATTATGGAAAATATCTTTAAAGCAAGATTTTTCTCCAAGTTGTCTTCTACTCTGACATGTACCATCCCAAAACTGTCTCAGTAGTTGGAAATCACAGGTCCCAAAGCACCTATCAGAAACAAGAGCTCTTGCGCATGGTTTGTCTGCCTCTGGGCTCCATCTCACACTTCAGTCTGTCTAATTGGCATGAGTCTAAGGGTCCTTCTCTCCGTCCATAGCCAAACTAATCACCTTCCACACATGTAGAATAACACAATAACACAAAGAATGGCTCTTCCAACCTTACCAAAGAATATACTTCCTCTGCCAGAGGAATCATCCAGCAGGAATGAAAGACCTAACTCTGCACTTCTCAAATAGGTCTCCTATTGCTTTGAGAAAGGAAGAGCAAAAAAAAGTGTTGACAGATTAGTTACAGGCTACTTAGTTGATGCCACGTCCACAGAAGGAATGTGTCTGCATTGAAAAAACAAGTAACTTATTAACCGTTGTGGATAAACGTATGTCAGATAGGATCCATTGGCGTGATTTTATTAAGTACGTAAGGATCTAAATCCCACTTTGAAGAGAGATTTATGGCTTTATATTTTATCCCTACTGGCAGCATGACCGGAGATGAAACTTCCATTGATTGGCTTCAGTGAGAGTTAAAAATGAAATCCCCTGGCTGTCCAAGAGCACAAAGGAGCTGTTCCTGCTCCGGAGAACAAAATGTCTAACTTTGGGCTATCTATCTGCTGCACTCGTATGCTGGCAATTTTTCCAAATTGGAAGAACATTTCCATGGTACTGCTGTCACAGTTTAAATTAGCGTAGAAAATTAATCTTCATCCATGGTGTGCTTCAGCAGTTGGCAGGCAAAAGCAATCCCAGATTGGAAAAGTGGTAAAAATAATCTTCAGGTTACTATGGTTCATTGCGGGGGAGCTACCTAACTGCCATGCCAAAATCTCCAACAGATACCTCCAGAAACTGAGGGGAGAGAAGTATTGGAAAAACACTTAGAGGGGGGAGATGGTACCATATCCCCAAGTGACTCTGCTGTAACTAAGGTACACAGCTGGATCCCCAGGTCCCAGTGTTATCAGCCCCTGGAGCATAAGAGGGTCACGTCTTCCCACCGGCTGGGGTCCAGGCTATTCCACTGCCCAGAACCAGCTGGTCCCCCCACCCCGTAACACAGTCTGTTCATGGACTGCCATGACCACCATGTTCATGTGGTGTCAAACTTCGATCAAGGGCCACAGAAGGAGGACCTCTCCCCTAACAGGGGCAGCAGGAATATCCCGTGCACCACCTGCAGTGGGGAGGACATCCGTTTGTTCCAGATGGCACGCTTGCAAAAAGGATGGCTTAAACCACTTACACTGAGTGACAAAAATCAGATTATCTGGTAGCCGATAACTGTAACTATCAGTTTAGTTACAGTTCAGATCTATGAGCATTATTTATAAGAACCAGTTTGATTGGGGCGAACTAACTGGAAATTTCTGTGCTGGGAATTTCCCCCCCAGGTCAGTTCACACTTAAGTTGTTCTCATGGCTCTGACTGGAGAGAAGCAGTCAGACGTGGGTTTGAATGAAGCTTGCCTCCACCCCAAATAAATAATTCAAAACCCAGGCTGTTAGCGACTCTCTCTCCTCCTGCCTCTCTGGCTGGGCCTGAGAAACTCTTCCACAGCAGCATTGCTCCTGAGCCTTTCTGTACTCCTGAACCAGAATTTTGGGTGAATTTTTTGGTTAGCTGATAAATTCCCAAACAGCTCTTTCTATAGGACCTGATCTAATGTCATCTCATTAAACTTACTTAGAAAGAATGAACAACAAATGCATCATGCCTGAAAGCAAGAGATTCTGACCGTAAGTGTAAATATTGAGGAAAGAAGAAGAGTCCAATGGTCAGGGCACTAGCTAGGAATGCACAGCCTTTCTTGAAAACTGCCTCTGCTGTAGCTGTCTTGTAGGATCAAGATAAGCAAAGTTAAGTTAAACTCTCAGTGCAAGAATATGTCATCTGTAAATGGGATAAAAGGGCTTCCTTTCCTCACAGAAACACTTACAAATGCTTTAAAGATGAGGAGGCAGCTCAGAGCACTTTGGTAATTATTAAATACAAAAGTACGAGGGGAGTTTTGGTAACCAGGCATCTCTGAAAACCAAAGTCTTTTGCTTTGTAAAGGCAGCAGTGGAGCAGGTGGTTTTAATGTAGCTTCTAAAAAGCCTTGGTAAGTTCAGTTTCCCAGATAATCCAGCTGACACTCTCCCACCACCGAGCCTGCCAGTTCTGTGGGTTGCAGTTAGCAATGTTTGAAGCTGAGTTACAACTACCCACAGGCTGAACAAAAGAGTTATCATCAAAATTATTTCACATAAAACTCCAGGTTTTACTCAAAGTAGATTCCAGTAAAGAAAGTAGTAATACTTCTTAGCTTTCAATAAACCCATATTTTTATAATTAAATGTCCTGGTTGCCAGCTCTGATAATAATCTGTAAAACTTCTTATGCTTTTCTTAAAGGTCCAGGTATTGAAGACAAATAACTATGCAAGACTTACAACTTTCATGTAAAAGTAGTAACAGTTTTCTAAGCCCTTGCGGCTGCACAGGAATCACTCATTCCAATGGTTTAAAGCTGATAGTCTAATACCTCAGCATGTGGAGACCACCCATGATTAGGAAAACCTGAGGAAGGCAATCCTGAAATTTTACCCAGATGATCCAAAGGACGAAGTTCATGCTGCTCTCATTCTGTTATGTAAATGATGTAAAGACCCTCATTACATAAGACAGCGGAGTCACCCTAGGGACTGATTTGGCACAGCGCCCTCAGTGTGTAGTTTGGGTGGAACCGAGCAGCTCCATGGAGATACCGCTGCAAACAGAACTAGCTCGTTCTAGGGACTCTTTCTTCTTGTACTCCTTCAGTGCCTTCTGCAACAAGCAAGACATTGCTTAGCAGTCGTGCCCTGCACATATGCATGTCAGCACTAAACCACTATAAAGTGAACTGGCACTTTCCATTCTTTGAGGTTAAAATCTGTTTATTCATTTCTTTCATGTCGATCTTTGTTTCATTCTGTCTCCTTACTATACAAAACCCGTCATGCGCTGGGAGATGAATCGCTGAACTTTTATTGCCTTTTAGCTCCTCTCTGTGAGTGTGTAAAGCACTACACCAGATGCTGAGTGTCCTAAATCACAGTTTCTATAGCTAAATCCACATTTCACAGCAGGTGTGGGCCATGGCATCCCTGGGTCCTAATCAGTTGCCCCGCTGTCCAGATCATCACACAGCTGGAGAGCTCAGAACTGGGGGCCATTCCTGGGTCCACAAGGTAAGATGTAGTTTATGCTTAACACAGGTTCTTTAACAGACTATATGCATAAAATAGAACCAGTATTTTAGCAATAGATGTGATTTGTAACCATAGCACACCAGCCTGTTGAATCTCAAGTCTAAACATAACCAACAGAAGAGGACTCTCAAAGGAATTAAGATGGTTAACTAAGGAGTCAGAAATTAATATAAAATAAAGCTATTAAATGCATATTATTAGACAAATGTTCATGATCTAAGGTCCTTACCGCAGTGTCATTGGTGGTAATGTACACCAACACATCCGAGTTGTTTCTGCCATTAATGTATCGGTAACAGTTCCACACACAGCTTATCAAGTAACCCTGCAAAGAAAAGGGATTTATTATTCTGTGCAGAAAATAAACCATATACATTTTCTTGTTAGAGCATTTCTATTCTTATATAAATAAGAATATGAGCCTGATAGAAGCACGGGACAGTCACTTTGCTGGTTGCAGTGACTGTAAGTATGTATAGGCGCTCTGTGAGTAATCCAACACCATTCCTCATACTGATAGAGTTGGGGTTGTTCAGTCTTGAGAAGAGAAGGCTCCGAGGAGACTTTATTGTGGCCTTTCTATATAAAAGTTATATAAATAAGAATATGAGCCTGATAGAAGCACGGGACAGTCACTTTGCTGGTTGCAGTGACTGTAAGTATGTATAGGCGCTCTGTGAGTAATCCAACACCATTCCTCATACTGATAGAGTTGGGGTTGTTCAGTCTTGAGAAGAGAAGGCTCCGAGGAGACTTTATTGTGGCCTTTCAATATATAAAAGGGGCTTATAAGAAAGATGGATAGAGACTTTTTACCAAGGCCTGTAGTGACAGGACAAGGGGCAATGTTTTTAAACTGAAAGAGGGTAGATTTGGATTGGACATAAGGAAGAAACTTTTTACGATGAGGGTGGTGAGACACTGGCACAGGTTGCCTAGAGAAATTGTGGATGCCCCATCCCTGGAAGTGTTCAAGGTCAGGCTGGACGGGGCTTTGAGCAACCTGGTCTAGTGAAAGATGTCCCTGCCCACAGCAGTGGGGTTGGACTAGATGGCCTTTAAAGGTCCCTTCCAACCCAAACCATTCTGTGATTATATGGTTCTGTGATTACGGATACTTGTGTTGCACTATGAGCTACTCCATCTAGGCAGAGATACTGCAATCTAGACCTATCTGAATGAAGTTTAGTATTCCAGATTTTTAATATTACAGCATGCTTAATGTAGACTAATTGTTTTGAAAAGAAACAGTTTATTTGGGTCTGAATATAGCTAAAGTAACATCATTTTGTGTATATAACCTCCATTTTACATAAATGAGCAGGTCACATATGCTGGCTTGCTTTCTTACACCTCTCTAGAAATACAGAGAGATATGAGTTCAGTCAGACACCTCGTTACTGTGCATGGGATACTGCGTACCAGCAGGGGTGAGTTTTACAACATAAAATGGGAAGGTGCTGCAGATGCAGAATGTCTCAGGGACAGCAGCAAAAAGTAAACAGAAGTCAGTTTTGGATTCCTCCATGGTAAGGATGTTTAAATATCGTCAACTGGGGGTTAGTAGTATTAGAAAGTGGAAGCAGACTCTGGTAAAAAGAGCACAAGCATGCTGGGGACTGAAGAATCATCAAGCAAATTACAGGAAACCCTCCTTGTCTTGTGAGTGGAAGCCTGGCCAATGACCATGTGGTGATCCTATATATCACCTGCGTTGTTTCAATATTCTGTTTCACTTAATCTAACACTAAATCAATATATTCCATATGACTGGAATGGTCTGGGGGTCTTCCTATTCTTGCCTGACTAGAGAAAATTGCCAGTGTAAAAGTTTTTATTGAAATCTGAAATGATTTCTGAGCTTTTAACCGTTATTACACATACTTCTTTTTTTTTCAGTGTAAAGCAAAAAACCTGTTATTGCAGCAATAATCCTACCACAGGATCATAAACTTCACTAGTTTTTTTCTTGGAGCTCACTCGGCTCTGGGTAGGGCCACTGCCTGGCAAACAACTAGTTGTCTCCACTTTTTTTTTAACTGGTTGGGCAAAGTGCTCACATCCATCATCTCCTTCACCAGCAGGAGAGATTCCAGTCTGGCCAGCAGCTATGAGCAAAGTGACTGGAAGGAAGACAGGAGGCAGTGACATGTGGAGGAGCAGAAGTCAGATCTTCAGCATGCCAGGGACAAGGCTGGTGGGACTAAGCAGTTCCCTCTGGAGCTTTCTGCTTCCCACATAGTCACACACAACAGTGATGAGGAGAACAATGTGTTTTGATAGTGCCCAACTTATATTTTTACTTAGTAGGTTCTGCATAGCAGTTCTTTCACAAACCTAGCGCATGCAAATTAAACTGCCAGCACTGATTGGATTTGCATGTGCGTCTCACTCTGAGTGAGTCATATTTTTGTGACTCACTTGCACTGATGACCTTCCAAAGCCTCTTATCCTTTTGAGCTGCCCTGTACTTCCTCCCTCTCCAGAGCTGTCACACACGAGCTGTGTTTTTCAGGATGCCACATGACTCACTGATGGCTCGCTTGCAGATCAGGAAGAGGTTTTTTCCACCGGGGCCGAGTTGGCTGAAATCCAGTAAGTTTGCTTCCTCTTCTTTACGGCATCTTACAGACCCTGGATGACTTGGAGGTGTTGCAGACTTTGACAATACTTTCAACTATCAAATGGGGAGAGCAAAAGGCTTCTGGAGTGAGCTGAGTCCCAAGGGACGGTTAGACTGGCTCTACAGCCCAAGCTGTGGGCTATGCAAACCTGCCCCAGGCTACTGAAACAAGTGGGGTAAAAGCACATACATGAAGAATTGCATCTTTTCCAGAATTAGATAAAATGCCATTGTTAATTATAAATAGTAATAAGTAGTTTAGTAGCTTTCAATGCTCAGATACTATGTGCTGAGAAAGGCATAAGAGCTAGTACAGAACAGAGACTGAATACAGTACACTTCTGTGAGGACATAGCCCATCTTTATACAAAACCCTTTACATTAAGCCTAACTATTTGCAAACCAATTTCTATATACTCCTTCGGCCAAAATCCAAACTGAGGGAAGCCCCGTTTCAGATAATAGAGTCTAATCTGGGAGAAGCTAGTGGGGCATTTATTTTTGAATGCTCTCATTCCATTACATGTGGTGAATAAGCCACATTTAACCCCACAATGAACCCCTACAGCTCTTCCAGCTCTGAGCCCTAGCTCTAATCAGCCCTGCTCCTGCACACACAGGCTGTTTCTCAGTGGGTGAGGTCCATTCCAGCCCTTGAATTAAAGAGGTCATCAGCCAGCACACACCAAGTAATTGGCCCCGAGACACTGACCCACATATGGTTGAGAGTGGCGGCAGCTCAGGGCATTTCCTTGTCCAAGTGCTGTGGATATGTGCTGCTGGCCTGCTAATTGTGAGTCATGGAAACTCATTTTCCTCAACCTGTAACAACTTCTTTAAACTTGTTCCTAATCATTGTTTTCTACTGCTGCTGCTGCACCGTTAAATGGGATTGCTGATTCAGTTACCAATTTTTTTCCTGAAAAACTTGGCTGAGCTTCCAAATACTGCTTTAAAATGTGTGGCTGGACACAGAGTATATAAATATATCGATTTTTCTCTCAGGAGACCAATGTTCACATTTGGAATAGGCCCTACGTAAAAGGCATTAAGTCACTTCAGCCTAATCCACCCTTAGTGGTATTCACACATACCACAGCAGAGGCTGCTGACAGATGCCTTTTTGGGGGGCAGCCCAAATAGCCACCATGTGAAAGGATGGGTGTGCAAGGAGGGCTGAGTGTGGAAACAGGCACCGTGCATACTTCTACCAGCTTTCAGTCTCCCCCTTTGAATGGTGGGAAATGACTTGAGCCCCTAAGGAACTGAAACCCACAAAACTTTATAACCCTGCCTCTCGCTGTTGTTATTGCATGTGCGCTTGTTAAGCTGCGTAACAACAGTAACGTACTGCATGACTTCTGCTCATCAGACATGTGCCCGACCAGCTGACTGACCAGCATCTTTGTGGAAATTAGAGGTTGCTGTATCCTGCCGTTTCTTGTAACGCAGCAAGGAAAAGTCTGTGCTGATCTGGGTCACAGCAGCCCTCTGGGCAGCTCCCTCGCTGGCAGCAAGCGCAGGGTGAACGCTGCAGACACGACAGAGCACCCACAGGTTAGGAGCTGTCTGCACCGAGTTCAGTTTTATTCTCCAGCTGCTTTGAATTTTCTATTGACAGAGCTGGGCTGGTCTTCAGTAACTGGTGAAAATGAGATAAAGATTTCTACACAAACTGAAATTTATATGAAGATTTGAGAGGGATGCTAATGGCAGACCAGTTGGCCATATGTATTTCACATGTTGGTACTGCAGAAGGAGAAACAATGGGTTGCTGTGCTGATGAAATCTGCAATTAAATCCATCTTCTCAGCACACTAGAATGTGTATCTTGTGAGTATAAAAAGGCTGTACAAGAACCACTCCTTATAACTGCAAAGAAATGCTGTGATTGAAAAGAATTAATGATGTCAAACCAAACCACTGGCCTGCAGCACTTTAAATGGCACCTTATACGGGCCAGAACATCATCTGTTGGCTCACAGTCACACATACTGGGGTGTGCAATTTAAAGCAAATGACCCCTGCTTTAGAAATGCTTCTCCTATAAATACCCTGCCACCAGCAAGGCCAGTGCTGGGACCTGTCCCAGGCTTTCGTGGAAGAGATGGCAACCTCGTGGCTCTGTGTTGGCCATTCCTGGGAGTGCGGATCGGAGCTTGGCTGTCGGGGCTGTGTTCATGGTCCCAACTGCTGCTCCATCGCCCCTGCGGGAAGGTAGCAGACACCGGTGCGATGTGCTGCAGGTCAGGGTTCCCCCTGCCAGGAGGCATCCCTTGGGTTGAGACACGAGACCTCTCGGGGTGAGCACAGAACTTCATTCTGCATCACCCTTTCCCATCTGCTGAGGACACCAGGACATGCAGAGTGCTCTCATCTCCAGGCTCGACACCTTGCATACGCAGGTTATAGGCATATTATGGAGACCAGGGTTAATATTCAGTTTGCTGAAGACCAGCCTGTCTCACTGCCCCACCTTTTCCTACCTCCTTTCCAGAAAAAGAAAGGCCAAAAAAGAAGAGGAGGCCATACTCTGCAGCTGCGGAGTGCTCAGGGCAGCCTGGGGGAAAGGTTTGTTCTGGTTGTGTTTGTGCTCACCTGAGCCTAGCTTATTTGGGCCTGGGGGGCTTCACCCAAGGTGGGGAGGGGGAGGTTGAAGCCTCAACTGTTCTGTCTCAGCAGCTGGGGCTGGCCTGAGGAAACCAAGGTCCTGTTCCCCAAACCAGCTGCAGAGGAGGGCGCGATTCGAAAGCCACTGTGTTGGCTATATGCCATTTGAAGTCCTGTGTACATGTATATAAACGCATTTGTGCTGCTGGATGTCCTTCCTCAGCCAGATAGGAAACACCTATGTTTCATGGTATGTAACTCTGGTTTAGTTTCTAGACAAACACAGTAATGGAATAACACATTTTGGTCTACTCTGAAAAAGATTCTGCGTGAAACCACCTGAAATATCCATTAGCTGCTTCAGATCCAAGTAAATCCTAAGGACTAAAAAGACAAGTGCTTGTCTGTGGTTAGTTGGCTCGCTTTCTTACTACCCTCTCTTGTCCCCCTTCCCTTTTCACAATCCCATGACTGCAAAGCACAAACCCACCATCTAATACTGATTTCTGCTGTGTTTTTCTGTGTTTTCCTTTGCAGGTAGCTGCACCCAAAACAAAAGTGTCACGATGCCAAATGTTTCTGAGGAATTATGTGATTCTGTTTCATACTTCCCACCAGCTGAATGCAGCTTTTCCTACTGTAGCTTTTCCTAGGTTACAATGTTTTGGTTTCTCTCCCTGTTTCTAGCTGAATTCCAGAGGGAGAAGGAGCTCAGGCATATTTTTATGCACAGTACCTTTTCAGTTTCAGTATATAAACGTGGTACCATCTGTTAAGTCTATCAGTGATAAAGTGTGATGCATCTGATAGTGTCCAGCTTTCTTTTCATGGAGCAGATTCCATAAATCTGCATAGCAGCTCTTCTGGAAACACAAGAAATTCAAATGAAAATGCTAACTGGAATTTAGCATGTGTTTCTGCGTGAGTCATACCTTTTGTGACTCATTTGCACAATGAAATGTTGCTAGAATGAGCATTATGAGAGCCACATATACTCTTGGAAAAAACATGTGTTAGCCACTTTAAATCAAAATGAATCTTTTGCACTATTAATTTCTTAGGTTTCTTATTTCTATTGTAAGTATTTTTGCCATTCCAATTTTAGTTGCATTTTTTTTATAAGCTTGAGACTTCCTTGCCATACTTAGTCAATGAAATACCAGACGCACCTGGGGTAAAAACGAGCTAGTGCTTGCATCTGAGAAATTTATAGAGCACATCCCTTGTGGCACCTGACAGATCTATGTATTTATTACATTCATACACATTTCTTAATGGTGCAAACAAAATCAACTGTATGGCTGTGAACATATAAAGCCAGAAGGCTAAAGTGTATTTCTAAATCACAGAAGAAAAGTGAATATCACTTCCAACAGCACATTAAAATACCCTATCTGTTTTATTTTTTCAATTTTGAAGTAGCTTCAATAATCTAATCTACCTCTTTTGTCACAATAACTTTCCCTATTCGTGTTGTCAAATGTGTTGTCTGGAAGCAATATCCCTGGTGTCACTGTGGCTCTTTGGGACTTCTCTAATCTAATGCGTAATTGCTTTGCAGAGAAAGAGCAAGAACGATTCTGAAATAAAACCCAACATGAGAAATATAAGAAAGGCAGCACTGCACTGTGAGAAACTTGCAGAAGGGTGCAAGAAGAGGGCAAACATACCGGCATACTTTCCAAGAGGTCCAAGGCTCAGGGGACCAGCTGAGCCATACGTGGTTGTTTTTCATACGTTGATTTGTCTGATCTTATTCTGAGCTCCTTTTGGACTTCTGCCCCGCACAGCAGGTGGGGGCTGACCTCGCTGGACCACAAACCTGGGTGCAGGGGTTTCACATGAGCCCTTTCCGGCTGCACTGGCCGATGCTACATCTCCCCTTCATTTGGTACCTGCCACCTCCAGCCCTCTCACCCGCGAGGTTTGCATAACAGCAAATAAATCATCACTCCCTGTGCCCTTTTGCTGCCTGGTGTGACAGTCCTTTATGTTGTCCCTCCCAGGAGGGATTGTCTGGATCTATTTACCTGCGCTACAACACCCTTTTCGAGATAGGGCACCAGAAGTGAATGCATGCTTCCAGAGGCGGTAGGCATCAAAACTGGCAAAGGAATCTTTAGATTTCTGGTTTTTCTATTCCTTTCTTAATATTCTTAGCATTTGATTTACTTGTTTGACCAGAACTGAGCAGTAAGCTCATATTTTTACAGGTCTATCTATCTATCTATCTATTACAGCTACAAGATCCCTTTTTCAGGTGGTCATGCTTGGTTCAGAGTCCACTGCAGTGTCTGTGAAACAAGATTGTGCTTCCTCTGTGCCCACCACTTAGAACTTATCACCACTGAGTTTCTCTGCCATTTCATTGCTCAGTGCCATGAGATCCTTCTGCAAAGCTTTCTTGGCCAATTGTTTTCCCTATTTTGAATGACACTGCAAAAAAATGTTGTTCTTACATTTCCTTCCCCTTCCCAGATCTTTTATGAATATACTGAACAGCATGGGTCTCACTGTTGTAAAGACTGATAATTTATCCTTATTCTCTATTTCCTAGCTATAGTCTGTGAGATGTCCTTTCCTCTTGTCCCTACACATCTTAGGGTGTTTTTTAAAGCCTTTGATGAGAGACTCTGCCAAACACCTTTTGAAAAACCAAGAAGTCTGTATCAACAAGCTCTTCCTTGTCTACTGGATGACCCACTCCTTCAAAGGTTTTATGTGTCATGAGCTCCCCCTACAAGCATCATGCTTCCCCATTGTGGCCTATACATTCATGTGTTTGTCTATGAGATTTTTCTGGTTTTTTTCCATAATGTCTATCACTTTGCTTCGTACAGCTGTCAGGCTGCCTGGTCTGTAGTTCCCTAGATCTATTCTAAAGCCAGGCCTCCCAGCAAGGGACATTCCACCCATTACCAGTAGACTTTATACACAGTAATGCACTTACCTTAAAAGCCAAAATGATACTTATGAAAAGGAGAATAATCACAACCAGACACGTAGGGTTCACAGACATAATCTCTTCCTTGTAGGGAAAATTGGTGGGCTGCATAAGCAAAAATAAGCAGAACGCTGTAAGTTAATCTCACGAGTCATTTAAGAGCCATCCAATTAGTGCACTCTATAATTAACAGGTTACAAAGCTTGCTGTGATCTACTAAATCGGGAGCTCTCTACACCAATGACCAGTTTCAGTAAGTTTGGCTGGAACAGGCATTGCAAAGACTCAGCTGCCAAACATTCACTGGAGGGCTGAGTGATTTGCGTTTTGCTTTGTGGTGTGGGCTGTCTTTTCCTCTGTGCACACAGGTTTTGTATCTGACACAAACTAGCAAAGGACATCTCTCTGGGAGCTTTGCAGCAGGAAATCTGCCATCTTGGGCAACAGCAGGCAAGTCCTGTACTTATTAACTAATCATTATCTTATACTGGCACTGGTTGCCAAAGACAAGTGGCAGCTCCTTCCAGAAAGTCAAAGCAGGAAAAGCTGGACAGCACCTGGTCCTTTCACCTAAATATTTGATCAAAAGACATTGGGTCTATTCTGCTCCATCTTATTTTGGCTAAATTTGAGAGCACTTGTTAGTGCTGCTAAGTGCATGCCCCGTGGAGGCATGGGTCCTACAGGAGGGCAATGTCATGATTTCAAATTGAAATGTGCTCCGGGTCCTGTTATCTCATACATGAAATGGAGGTGACAAAATTAATCTTCCTACTTAGCGTAGGCTCTAGTGTGAAACGCTTTAGGTTCACTGGCTGAAAAACAACCTCTAAAAATGTTTTACTATATTTGTTATTGCTTCAACAAAGCACAGCCTTTAAAATGAATGTTCCAAATAGTTTTGAAATATTGCAAGGCACAAGTTCCTGTTTCAGTTAGAATAAACCATTGCTCACAGAGATGTTCTTGACAAAAGATAGCACCACTGCAACAGTAGCTCATTATAACTGAATGCATTAGCTCCTTCCACACATAACCCCCTTTTTCCTTACTGGTCTAATTACTTAACCAGGCCAGCTCTGCATCTTTGTCAGGACAATTAACTAGACCGAGCTATAACTGTATTCTTGGTGATGATGGTGTCAATCCAGAGTAACCCCTTAATACACCTTATACCGGAACTCAGCCCACTGCATCAGGAAATTCTCCTTTTTTTTGGACAGCTGCTAGTGAGAATAGATTTAGTGCTTCCATGAACGGTTCAGAGTGGTTAACATCAACAGCAGCTGTAACCGTTTGCAGATAAATGTTACATAAGCACATTTTCTGCTTCTTGACAGCAATGTTTCTGTTCCGGTACTGAATTTCATGGCTGAAGTTTTTATCATGTTATCTTCTTTGTTGAGGTACAGCTCTGTAGGAAAGTAGCTTGCTGTAATTCAATAAGTTGCTCCTTTTTTTTTTTTTCCACAGAAGGTTATCGCTAAATGTAGCGGATGCAGTCACCCAGAGATGAAGCAAGCAAGAGTATATGCCAAGAAAAGATGCACTGAAAAATAAACATAAACCTTATATGCAGAAAATTTAAGTATTAATGCCACAGCCTGCCCTCCTGCTTGCAGGAGGTAGGCCATGCACGTGGTTAGAAAGTCCAGTTAGTTAAGGACAGTTACAGTAAAACTGCCCCAAAACAATTTTTTTAGCACTGACCTACCATTAAAAAACTAGTCACACTAGTTTGTGAATGTAATAAAAAACTCCTAGTGAGGCTTTGGTCCTCCTACGCTCTGGTTTTTGGGGAGCAGTCACTGGTCAAAGACTGGATGACTGCATGCTGGGGTCTCGGCCATAACCTAATGGCCTGTTTCCAGAGGTCAACTCAACTGGGATTTGCACGGGGGCAAGAGGAGGGCAGGAAAATGACCAAGAAAGGTCCCGCTACCTTGAAAAGCAGGAACATCTGCTGGAGCCATGAGCCCTGGCCAAGTCTGGGAGCAGCATGTGCTGCAGAGCAGCGCTGGGCCCTCCCTTACATCAGCAGTGTTTCAGGTGAAAGGACGGTAATTCAGCACTGAAAACAGCAAGCCAGGAGAGCATGTGAGGAGCAAATGCTGCGGTTTGTCCCCTTTGTGCTCAGATTTCTGGGTCTCTGTCCTGAAGAGATGTGAGGTGCAAGCAAACCCCAGCGAGGCGGTGGGTGCTGCACCCATGCAGCGGTCACCCCACCCACAGATGCCCGGGAGATCTTGGTGCAGGGCATGAAAACCAAAGCAGACCCCTCCTGGGGTTTTCCAGCTTGCTGTGTGGGAGAAAAAGCTTTTGGGGCTACGATGAATAGCCCAGGAGCAGTGGGTCAGTGTGGAAGAAACTCCCTTTGCTAACTGGGCTGGTGGCACCTGCTGACCAGAAGACGTTTAACGCTGGCTTGCCCAGGCTGGCCTAAGAGCTGCCTAATCTGGACTCATAACTACAAACCTCTTCAGTGCAGTAGGAAAAGCAATTTATAAAACCTGCAGCTTTTGGCAAAGAAGCAGGAAAGATGACGGGAAGCATCTTGGCTGGCTCCAGGCTCGCCTGGTGCAGGCACCATCATGGAGCTGGTGCCATCAGGAGGCCCTTGGGATCCTCCCACGGCAGCAGCCGCTCCCAAAATCTCATTCACTCCCACGGAAAATGGGTACCAACAGTGGTTCAGATGAATCAAAGACCCATTGCCCTCCACCAACTGCAGTGATAAGTTTAAACACCTATGTGGGCGTATGAGGTGGGAAGAGAAATTCTGCTCCTGTGCTGGGGGTTTGCTCTCCTGTGGGGAGACCAGTAGTTGAAATCCTGCTGCTGGGAAGGCCCCGGGCACCGGGCTCAGTGCTGCAACTTCTGGGAAAAGCTCAGTGTCAAATGTTGTGCAAGGTTTGACGAAGCTGAGACTGAAATATGGCTGGGTGGGAAAAAACAAGCCCGTCACTGGAAATACAGGAGTGATTTTTCAGCAGGACATGATGAAATTTTCTATACAAACAAGAGGTAGTTGTAGTGGTCTGGCACTGGCATGCTAAAATCATAATTAAAGTGTCTTTTATAACCTTGTCATGGACATGGAGAAGGCTTCGTGCATAATAGTATACCTGGTAAACTTTCAATTAAAAAAAAATTACTGCTTATACATAGCAAAGCTCTATTAGACACTTAAAAAGAATCTGAAACTTGCATGGAAACTGTGTTTCTACTGCATCGATATTGTACAAATGCACAAGAAGAATAAAAAGTCCAAGACTGAAGCCCTTTCTCATTCCCTTAGCCTGCTTGCATAACCTTTCACGTTTTCCTTCCCCCTGGACCACAAAAAATCCACTTTAAAAGATGGTGTGGATTCTCATTCAACAGTTGCCATCCTCTGAGTATCAGAATCTTACAAAATTGAAAGAAGACAGTAATGTGTCTGTAGAATTTTTAAAGCTCTGCTACGAAGTTAGCAGTACTTCTTCTTTGGAATTATAAAATGGCATTAAAAATGTGAGAAAGGATATTCCTTTTTTAAGCTATAGTTTATAGGAAAAATTTCTTCAGGTTTAATCTCTTTTACGTTCTCTAGACGTTTCCCCTAGGATTCAAAAGCATGACTGATACCACCTGAATTGTTAGACAGCAGCATTGCAGGTAGTCCCATAGTAAAGCTATTTAATATACTTTGAAATTTTCTTTAGATGAACTGTAATAGTCCTGTACTTTAATAAAAAACAAGTTTGCATAACTCAGGTGCAGACTAGCCGGTTCTGCACCTCTGCTTCAACTAATTTTGTATACTGTTATCAGATGACAGAAGATGAAGTGATTAATTTGAAGGCTTTAGAAAGCCCATATATCAAAGATTTAGTGGGGCTAAAGAAAAGAAATATGCTTTAGGTCAAACTGCTTTAGACCACTATTGCTCCAAGAACCAAAATGATTTTTATTTTACACATGCTGGATTTACTGTATGTGAAGGTTTTTGTTTTTCTAGTGACAGTGATAATGACCAAGATGTCCAACATAACCCTTAGAAAGTTTTATCACATGTGATCGCCATACAACATTTCATATGCTAGATTTGTAACATCTACTTATTTTACATGACCCTTCATGCTGAGATGCTCTTGCAATTTATGGGAATTACGTGGCACACCTGTATGCAACGGGGTATTAAAAGGCAACAAAAAGTTTCCAAAGACACTTGCACCTCTGAAAGAAGCAGCCAATAGAGGCTGACAGTACCAGATACCCTGTGAACACAATGATGTTCTGTATTTTACAATTGCAACATTTTCAGCTAGGGCTCTGCCTACTCATTTATCATCTTGCTAAAAGTACATGGAGGGTTTCACAGTAGCTTGCAACTCATCACTGACAGACTGAAATCTGGCAGATGTGCACCAAAGTGAATAGATAACATAATTCCAGATACTAGTGCAGGGAAGTAGAAATGGTTAAAAACATGGGGTTTTGACCTTAGAGCAAGAAAAAACTGTTCTTCTGAGACTGCCAAATATATTCCATTACCTAATGCATACCTTCTTCCAGATAGTCAATAACGGATTTGAAGAACGATTGGGATTTTTCATTTCCCTTATGGAGCTGCACTCCCTAAAATATCATTCCCCAAATTCAAAGCAGGTTTAGAGGAACAAAATCTGTAAGAATGCCAGAAAGAAACACAATCCCCTTCCTTGCTTTCTGCCTACCTTGGCTGACCTCTGCAAAGGGGGTGAGGGCAAGATGACTCTAGGGCTTTTTTATAAATTGTCAGGAGGGATCACACCCAACTGGCATGACTCAGGTCTCACCTACGGGGACAAGGGTGTTAGCTGCAGTCTTGTTCTAAACATGGTGTTTGAGATGACAAACCTATCTGTCATGAGTATTATTAAAAGGCAGGGAAACAAGTCCATGGGTACAAGCCTGTTTAACAATATTTGGGCGCTAGCACTGCATTGATGGTGTTATTGCTAAAAATTTGAAAAACTTGTTTTCAGTTTCATTTCATTGTGTGTCTGAGTATCTGATAGCAGTGGATGTGATCTCCACTTTTCTTTTGCTTTTGCCCACTCAGAGAGACTGTACTTGCTCTGAATCAAACGTGACATCCTTTTGCCAACCTTCCTGGTAAGGGTCTGAGGGACCCTGCTGAGCCACTTGTGCTTGGGACCACAGCTGAGACACAGAAGGCACGAACAGCTTCAAAGCTGATGCAGAACAGCTTCAAAACAGCTTCAAAACTTTGTTGAACAGGTGACATTAACTGTACAAAGTTCACCACAGCTCTTGGTAGGTTTTGCCAATCACTAATCTCCATTGTGAATGATAAAATAGAAATGACTCCTTGTTTCTAAATGAACTTAACTTGGACTAGCTTTTAGCTACTCATTATCTTATGCCTCTCATCTAATTTAACAGCATTTTAATACCTCATTATTCTGCATATGAAAACTCTAACGGCATCACCTCTTGGTCTCCTTTCTTGGTAAATGAAGCAGGAAAAGCTGATTGTCTCTCATCATACTACAATGTATCCAGCTTTTATATAGTTTTTGGAGGAACTTTTCTGCATGTTTTCTGACTTTTAAGCATTGTTCTTTACACCCAGAAACAGGCAGATGAAACCTATGTCACCAACTGAGAAGGGAAGTCTCCTCTCCGTTACCGTTCATTATTGTCCAAAAATCCCATAAGCAGTTTTTGGGAACAGCAAAAAACCTGGGGACTCTTGTTTTGGCACTTAAGCAGTTCACTATGCTTACAGGATCACTGCATCCCAGGTACAGTTGCCATAATATATGCTCATTTATATTCCTCATTTTTTTACTTTTTTTTTTCATTTAGCAATGTAGCACACATTAATGACTGAACTCAGGTTCTCAGTTAGTCTAGCTCACTCTGATTAATGGCTCTGTCCTTAGTGTTATTTACTTCTTCATTAATCTCTGTGTCAGTGACAGGTTTTATTAGAAGTGATTTTGCTGGGAAAAGGCACAAGTACTGACTCTGGGAAATGCAGAGGTGTGCTCACTTCGGGCAACGCAGGGATAGGGTCTTTCAGAGGATGATACAGAACAGCTAGATTAGGCTCCTGCTCGCAACCTCCCGCTAGAGGACTTGATTCCTCTAGACAGTGAGCCTGGGGAAGCTCTCCCAAGGCTGACGTTAGCCTTTGTGAATGGCCTCTTGGGTACCAAGGTTATTAATGGAAGTCAGGAAGAGCATGAGACCTAGTGCTGATTCCTGGAGACCTTCCTCTACCCAAAATAGAAACCCATTGGCAGATGGTCGGCTTGACTACAGCCCTTTGCAGTCTGCCAGCGAACCTCTCCTAATTCATTCGATACATCCTTTATCGATCTAGTGCTTTATTGTTGCTCTGAGTATCACGCTGCGAAGTCACACGTCTTACAAAAGTCTATTATGCCCCTGCCCATCAGTTATTGACGAAGCCAGTAATCTTGTCCGTAAAAGAAAATGAGTTTGCCTGCAGGACTGATTTTCCGTGAAACCGTGCTGGCAGTCATTAATCATATTCTTCTCTTCTAAGCCTTTATCAATTGACTCTCATCTCAGCACTTCTCTTATTCTGCTTGGTAGCAATGTCAGGCTAATCAGCCTATAATTGTCCTGGAAATCCCCCTTGCCCTTTTGAGTACTGACAGTTTAGCCCTCCCGAAGTCTTGCGGCATTTCATTACCAGTCCGGAAAATGATTTACAACAGCAAGACAAAGATATGTGCAACCAGAGGTTTTAATGCTCCAGAGCAGCAACGTGGCTCACAAAATGCTCTGCTGCACCATTCCCAACACCTTCCAAGGCCAGCTCCTTGTATTTCTGCTACAGAAGGGCCTATTATTTTTTTATCTGCAGGAATGACAGTGACGTTTTAGCAGACATGTTGAGAGAATCAGCTGCTCTTTGCTCTCCTGGTGAGCCAGCTCCAGACGTGGCACCAGGTTTTCAGTAGAAGAGCAGGGGCTTTTCGGTGCGCAGCTCCCAGCCTGATCCCATCCCCTCACGTTCTCTCACAGTGACCAAGACTGAGTAAAACCTGGTTACAACTCATTCTCTGGGAAGGGGGGCGAGTTCCTGCAGCCACACAGACGCTTGTGCTGCCACAAGAGAAGGGCTGGCACCGCTGCAGAAGCGAGGGACTGCAGGCGAAGGAAAGGCAGGAGGGCTCCAGCCAGCAGCAGCGGCAGCTTCAAGCACTCACCAAGCTACGGCTGTAATTTGCTCTTTTCCACTCATATCTCTGAGAACCTTTTGAATTATTCCTCTGCTTTTCTTCCAGTGTAGCATCAGCCGTGAATGCAGGCAGGTGTTAAATAAGGTGAAGGATAACAGGCCCCTGATGAATCCCAGCTCCCACTGGCTCGATGCATTGCCTCTTCCTGCAGATTTGTGTGGCTACTTATCTGCCTGCTGTTTCTCATTACCCGTAATTTATACTGCCCTAGCTAGTTTTCCATCCACATAACAAAGTTCACAGCCAAGCTAATCTGTATTCAGGTTCCCAAGGCAGATTTTCAGACACAGCGGCAGCGTTAGCTTCCCCCAGAGCTCTGCAACTCCACCTGAATATTGTTGGACATGGCACATAGTCCTGTGATGAGACAGAAGGTGGTGGGCTCTTGTCTTTGCTGTAGGTGGTTGCAATCACATCCTGTAACCTTGCACAATACTGGTTACGGATGTTTGGCCAAAGTAGACCATGGCAAGAAGGCAGCCTCTACTTGTCCCTAAGACAGATTCTGATAATATTTTCTAGCAAAAACAAACCTACATTGAATCAAACTCCTGCCTAATGAAATCTGTGTTAAAGCCACCAAATAAATTAAAAGGAGCAACAAAACATCCTTGAAATAGCACCAAAAATAAGCCGCTGGATATGAGCACAATAACTCTGAATCCAAAAGCAATTACTTATTATCTATGTCTTGCAATATGCGTGTCATTCTAAATGAAGTGGTGCTGAGAGCTTCCACAACATTGCAAAACTCCAGAGCTCTGCACAAATACTGTAATAAGTTAGTAATGTAACCTTGCAAGGATGTTGAATACAGACTAGCAAGGACTGAGAGGACTTTTCAAGGGCTGCATAGGAAGTCAACAATAAACTGTTGGCTAGAAATACAGGACAAACTGTGCGCCTTGCACAGTTTTTTCCCCCCAAAGCCCCCAAAGGCTTGTGAACATCAAGTGATTTACCAGTTGGCGGAGGTAGTCCTGAATTGTGCTGGGATAGACGAGTACACTGATGGCAACCAGCGTGTTAAGAGCAAAGTCAAAGATCTGGTAACAGAAGAAAGGGATGATCCAAGCCGCATGTTGCTAAAAAGGAAATAAATTAAAAACTCATCAGCCACAAGTTAAAATAGAAGGATATATGTCTTGCTACACTAAAATCTAAGCAATATTTGACACAACGCATTACATTTCATGAAGCCATAAGAGAAAAGAACTTGTTAAATCAGCTAAAAGAAATATGACATTCAGCCAAAAGGGTTGACCAAGCCAGCTTGGCTGCTGAACTGCAGTAATAGATGTGGTGTAAGTAAGTCCCACAACTTGTTGTACTGGGACATTTAGAAACCACATGACACTCTTTTTTCCCCTAAGTAATAGGATTAATATTGGGAAAAACCACAGACTTGGGAGGTGAATGGGAAAAAAATCCCTTAATTTTGGTAGGAACAAGATTTAGTTCTCTGAATTCAGAGTTTGCCCAGAGCTTACTCATATTTGAAACTGCAGACAGTCAACACAACTGGGCAGTCTTCCTGCCTACAGCACGGGGCCCTGGGATATCGCTGATCTGAGCAATCAGTTCTGCTGCCTGACTTTTTTTTTTCCTCTCAGTTTTCAGCTAAACAACTAAACAAGAAATTGTTAGAAAGCAATTTTCTTAATTTTGTTTCTACAGAGTTGTGTAGTTCACTTGATTCATGTCTTCACCGAATATAATGAATTACCTTATATGCACCATATGTAGCCATTGCACAGATCAGAATCATAAGAAGAGAAATTGCTGTGGCAATGCACATATCTGGAAGAGAAACACATCAAAATGATCACTGATAAATTCAGAGCTTGGTTCAGTTATTTTTCCATCTACCTCATGCAGAACATCTCAAAGGGCAGTGTGGGAAGTGGGGTGGAGATGGGGTCAGGTGCCTCGTTCAGCCATTGCTGTAGGAAATCTCTGGCTCTTGTGGGAACCTCCTAAATATGAGAAGCACAGACAGTGATTACACTGTGCAAGCCTCTGCAGCCTCTATGAGGCTGTGGAGGTGCCATGACTGATTTAATTTTTCTGAAGGATTTTGAAAAATCAGGAGCAGACTTTTCAAGGGCTGCATAGGAAGTCAACAATAAACTGTTGGCTAGAAATATAGGACAAACTGTGCGCCTTGCACAGTTTTTTCCCCCAAAGCCCCCAAAGGCTTGTGAACATCAAGTGATTTACCAGTTGGCGGAGGTAGTCCTGAATTGTGCTGGGATAGACGAGCACGCTGATGGCAACCAGCGTGTTAAGAGCAAAGTCAAAGATCTGGTAACAGAAGAAAGGGATGATCCAAGCCACATGGAGAAGACTATCTTGTCAGTGATGATGACATCTGTAGTCAGAAAGTGTCTGATTTTCTGCACTACAGATTGTTTTTGCACTAGTAGCTGCTGTGTACTGTTGCTCACATATCTCTAAAAACTTTGGAAAAGCAGAAATGAATTTTTAAAACCAAACTGGCAGGTAGAGGCATCTTAGAGCAGAAATAACATCTTGAAAATTTTCATTTCAACCAAGAATACTACAGAGATATACAGCTTATTAATGAAGATGTATAGCTGTCAGGAAAGGTGAAGTAGTAAAGGAAGCAAAATACTCTTTAAGGTTTTGATTGGAGTAATTACAGGACTCCTATCTTTTTCTTCTATTGCTGCTCAGCTTTCAATTAACTTTTTATTAGATTCAAGAAGTTCCTAAGCCACGAAGAGCTGGAAGGAGATCCTGGGGGAAAAAATTGCATATGTTTGGTCTTTTCCTGTACACCTCCCTTGATATTACAGGCCACAGTCAGGATACCAGAAGTGTATTTCTGAACCCGACCTTATAGTGAGTTTGGGAGTGCAACTGAATATGGCAACCACTTTTCCGAGGCTAAGCCAGTGCACGAAGAGGAGAGAGGACATGAGGTATATAGGACATGACTTTAGAGAACCCAGCTCTGTGGGTATCTGTGAGATACCTGCTGTTCACATTGCTGTCACCAGGTCCAATTAAACTACCTGCCTTGATGAGACATTTGGTGGACTTCAGACACACAAATACATGATGGTATTCAGGCTGTTCACTACCCATCACTGCCTGACTTTGGAGGCATTCAAAGTGTGAAGATGCCTCCATTTGATCACAGAGTTGCCACAACATCTAACTCCAGCCCATGATGAGGAGCATCCCGCAGCAAGGGACAGTCCCTCCACCTCCCTGGCTGCATCAAAATGAGGTTCTGGGTAGGTGCCCTGGAGCCTGCATCAAAGTCCCTGAAAGGTCCTGATCTGGTAGCTGTGGACAGGTCTCACCTACTGCCACCAGGTAGCAGTGCAGGTTCACCCGGGTTATGGCTGAAGAGGAAGGACAGACACTAAGTATCGCGTGTCATTTTTTCCAGCCTACCAGTACAATCATCCATGTAGAAGACAAAGGACCCAGTCCTCGACCCTTCTTTGCTTGAAGGAACACAAACCTGCACTAGCGCAGAGCTCCTGCCAGCACTAATCCAGATTTCTACTGGCCCTTGAAGCAGAGAGGAACCTGAGACTTGTGAAGCTGGCGGAAAAATGAGCAAGAAGAGACTGTCGTTGGCTGGTGAGGGCGTCTCCAGAGAGTGCTTATGTACGTTGGGCTACAGGCTCCTTGGGTACTGTGCTTACCAATAGCACGATTAAGGATTTAGGAACCCAGGTCTCCCCTTTCCCAGGACGCTGCCTGTGTCCTGGGTTTCAGGACACTTGCTTTCTCACTGTTGCCCCCAAATTTTGTCAATGTGATTGCACAGGGACTCAAATGCAACAGAATAAGCCCTATTGCAGGCTACTTCCTAATTTAATGGATGGGGCCCCTTTCCTGGGCACTTGGAGGAGCACATTTAAACCACTGTAGTCTGATGAGGGCCTGGAGTCCAGATGTCCTTACTCACAGTGCAAATGCTTGAAGCTTTGTCTTATTGTCAAAATAAGCAGGTCTCACGCAGGAGAGGCACCAGCACTCAGCACTGAGGTTAGCTGCACCCCTGCGCTCACTGCTTCCTAACTGGTGGCTTTACGCAGCTCGGCTTGTGGGCGCTTGGAAATGCCATCGGGAGGCAGCTGGGCTCCCTGCTTGTAAGTCAGGAGGGGACGACATCTCAGTGCATCCCAAACTGGTCTTTATGCCAAATTGCTCTTCATGCCAAATTGCTCTTCAGAGGCACCTCCTTCACCTCTTTGTGCAGAGAATCCGGACATCCAGTGTAGGTGTCTGAGCTGCATTGCCATGACCAGTCTCCAGCTTTTTAGGAGCCGTAAGGCTGTGCTGTGCCTGTTAGATCTGATCTGAATTCTGCCCTCAAGAGGAAGAAGCACCCACAAAACAAACCTATACTGATACAAGGTACCGCAGCCTCTTCAGACACTCTTATTTGTGTGGTACTTTACTCTGGCTGCCCACATACATCCTGTGAATTCAAAATTATTTTGAACAGGCCAGGTACAATTGAGGTAATGAAAGAAAAGGAGAGAAGTGGAAATGGCTGTCTGTAGCCACTAACCTCAATTGAACCTCCTATAAAAGAGGATCTTGGATCAATATTTTTCTTTTAACCATCAGTTTGAAGGCACTGCTCATGTATTTATTCTGTCCGTTCTTAATCCCAGTCACCTACTCACTGTATCTAAGGGGAAGCTGCTGTCATAGAAAAGGAGAGAAGTGGAAATGGCTGTCTGTAGCCACTAACCTCAATTGAACCTCCTATAAAAGAGGCTCTTGGATCAATATTTTTCTTTTAACCATCAGTTTGAAGGCACTGCTCATGTATTTATTCTGTCCGTTCTTAATCCCAGTCACCTACTCACTGTATCTAAGGGGAAGCTGCTGTCATTGTAATTTCATAGAATCATAGAATAGTTTGGGTTAAGGAACCTTTTTAAAGGCCATCTAGTCCAACCCCCCTGCAACGAGCAGGGTACCCTCTGAGCTCTGTTTCCCTCATGGTCATCCTCCGTATGTCCCAGCTTCTGCAGTGGTGGGCTGTGGGCTTACGGGCTTTTTGA